CCTCCAGGTGTTCCTTCGCGTTCTGTGTCCATGTAGCTCCAGTCTTTCTGTCCCCAGCTCCCTCCTGGTTTTCTTCATGTCTCTTAGTCTCCCCACCTTAGTTTCTATAGGTCTTTTATTTCAGTTGTGTGTGTGTGGGTGTCCTTCCCCAGCTTGGTGTGTGTGTGTGTGTGTGTGTCCTTCCCCAGCTCGGTGTGTGTGTGTGTGTCCTTCCCCAGCTCGGTGTGTGTGTGTTTGTGTGTGTGTTTGTGTGTGTGTGTCCTTCCCCAGCTCAGTGTGTGTGTGTGTGTGTGTCCTTCCCCAGTCAGGTCTGGTGTCTTCCCCTGCTCCTTTCTGCTCCTCCTCTCAATTACACCTGCTCCTCGTCTCCTATCACTCCAGCCCCAGTGTATAAAATCCAGTCCTTGTCTCAGTGTTGTGTCGGTCCATTGTGGTATTCTGTCAGTCTTCTCGTGTCTCTAGTGTTTTTGGATCTCGTGTTCAGTAATTGGACATTTTTGGATTTTTGGCTCCCAGCCTTTGGATTTATTTTATTTTTCTTGGTTCATCCTAAATAAAGGATTTTTTCTTAATCTTCATCCCTGCCTTGTGTCATCCTGGGTATCTGCATTTTGGGTCCTAACGATCTCCTGGCTCATATCGTGACAACTTTCCAACTAACCAGAAGCATCTTGGTTGGGTTCAAGACACAAGGTGTTGAGAGCAAATCGGTTCCCTATTCAAACATGAAGAGCCATCAGAGTGACTGCAGAGCACAGGTGTACTGATTATTTAGTTAAAACACAGAAAACCAGATTTTCACATTTATTTAAACCCATACAACAGCTGTCTTTCACTCACTGTTTTAATTTAAGCTTTCGGTTTTGTATTTTTCCAGAAAATATCACAAGTTTCCTTCACTCTGGCTCTGCTACTTGATTTCTGAAAAGGAGTGATGTGTCTCAAGTCAAAAGAGGCATTTCAAGCTCTCAGGCGAGAAAGGAACCGTTACGCTCAAGCTCCTGACCCTGGGCAAACCCATCAACGCACCGCTGAAAGGGCCAGCAGGAAACCGTCCAAAAACCTGCAGTGCCGAGCCAGAACCACAGCTGACGGGGTCGGGATCGCTAAACTTAGGCGACATACATCTGCATAAGTCAACACATGTTAAAGTACACAAGCAAATAAACACACAGAGATTAAGGCCCATTTTACAGTCTCGCACGCAAACACACAGGATTTTTCACACCTTCTCAGGACAATCTTTCATTTCAAGAGATGGTTTGTGTGCAACAACAGTGTGAGGCTCTGACTAATGAGTAAACAAGTATGTTTCAATATTGGCTTCAAAATGACATCCAGTCGGCCAGTAATGGATGTGTACATTTAACTCCGACTGGATTTCCTAAAAGATGTAGCCTGTTTCAGACAGGATGTGAATCACTGTTGCAACACTCCACCACTCACACAGCTATCTCCAGTGAGCAATGATTTATTGGAAAAGTTCTATCTGTGGCTGATGGAGTGCATGATGACATAACTTTGAGGAACATTCAGCTGCATCTACATTCAGGAAAACTTTTTCTTCTTCTTTCTGGGAAAATTAAATCCCAAACTCAGCTTGACAGGGATGCAAAAACACCCTGAAAAAATCAGCTCTACATGAATTTTTTCAGACAGTTCCAATCCTGTTGCAGATGGAAATATAAACATTTTTATTCTTTTATTTTCATGAAACATTTTGAAGCAATTTGTTGCCTTGTTTACTAGTTGAAACACTGACAGGGAATGTTTAGCTGTGCATTATTAGCTTCCACCATCTGTTCCTTCTCAGCATCCTATTCACAAACAGGGTTCTGCAAACAGTTCCTACTTGTTTAAGGTCCCCGAGAGAACACACACACACACGCACAGGGAGACCATGCAAACTCCTTGCAGAAAGACCCCAGACCAGGGTTTGAACCCAGGACCTCCTTGCAGCAAAGCAACAGCGCTAACCACAGCGCCACTGTGCAGCCCTGTGTCTTATATTTTTTCTTTGTGTATATAAAACAAAAACAAGTGAAAAGAGGTATCCTTGATTTTAACGTGCCTCAGCGAAAGAAAAATGGGTTTGAATCCACTGCAATTATCACCTCTCAACTTTTGGTTTTATATGTCAACTTGTAGATGTGAATGGCTACTTTTTAAATTGCTCTACAATAAGTTTTTATTGTAAAATAGCATCAACAGAATGGTAACATTTTTTGGACATCCATCCATCCATTTTCTTAACCCACTTTTACACACAGGGTCACAGATGACACCTAAGGACAATTAAGATTAACCAATCAACCTGCCAATTATGTTTTAGGAATGAGGGAGGAAGCCGGCGTACCCGGAGAGATCCATCCATACACATGCAAACTCCTTCCAGAGAGACCCCAGGCCGGGATGCAAACCCAGAACCTCCTTGCTTAAGGCAACAGCGCTAACCACTGCACCACTGCACCACTGTGCAATCCAATTTTTTTTACATTTATTTGCAAAAACTGATCTGACACCTGTTCTTTTCCCTGACATACCTGCCCCATTTTTAGGGCAACAATCCAGTACAAGCTACGTTTCCTGATTTCTTTTTCCATGACAGAGATACCGCAATCTCTCAAGGGACAACCAATATACTTTAACTGCATGTTACAAACAGTGCAGCTATTTGCAAACCAGATTCTTTTTGCCATAGCAGGTCACTGAATAAACGTTGTTTTACTAAGTGCGATTGATCAACATTCCTGTGCAACAACAACACTAGTACTACAGCAAGTCAAGACTACCAAAAAACGCCACTAACATTTAAAAAAACAACAACAACACTAGTTATAAAGCTATTTTTCTACAAAGTCTCTATAGACACATGATCCAAACTAAAACAACCCAAAAAGCATCATTAGTTTCAGCTGCTTTTATTTTGAAAAATTACAGGGTAAACAAAGCAGTCATATGATCTAGGTAAAATGAGGCCTCATTTCATTTCACTTTATTTATAAAGGCCCTTCTGCAACCTTATCAGATGCCCAAGGTGCTGAACAACACAAGAAGCAATAAGAAACACATGTAAAACAGTATAAAACAACAAAAAAAGCATTAAACACAATAAAGGGATCACATTACGTCCTGGACAATAGAGCCATGCTATGACAGCTGCTGTTAGAAAGCTATAACTTAAAATGCGTTTTCAAACGGGACTTGAAAATTTGACACCAGTCAGGAATTTTTTTTTAAATAAAGCAACTTCGATTTGAGGCTTCGTATACATGCCCCTTTTGCCCTCGGTACAAGCCTTGAAGCCTCTGATTCTTTTCCCCCAGCAATAATGATCATAAAAAAGGCTCAAAGCTTAGCAACAGCTATGCTTACTGACTTTTGATGTAAGGTTATTTCAGAGAGAACACAAATTTACACTTCGGGCTCAAAAGGACCAAAAAATGGTTCTTTTTTCTTATAATGGGTAACTTATAGCCAACAACAGCCCACAAGGTGAAACGTCAGACTTAAAAAGGCAGAACCAACACATTTCCTTTGCTAAAATATGCAGTGAATAAAAGTATATTTGAAAAATGACAGAGTTTTTATTAATTTGCAGGTAAACTGCAAATAAATTTCCAGCTGTTGCACACAAATTTTCACAGGGAGCTTATAAATTAAATTCCTCATAGAGCTAATTTGGAGTCTTTACATCTTGTTTAACTTACCTGCTCATGTTTTGTGAGACGTGTCTTATTATGGATGTCAGAAGAGACTAAGTTGAATTGATGTTTCTCAGCCAGCAGCCTTAGTAAGATGACCACCGTCCGGCTGCCGCACTTCCCCACACGATTATAAACCACCTGACTGGGGAACGGGAGCACCTGCAAGTATAAACAGAGGAATAAAGTCTGAGATAACTATATCCACTTCATGAAGCTGTTTAGATATGCCGTTACTTATTTATGTGTAGTTGAATTAGGCTGTGAAATGTTTCTAAATGGAAATGAAGGCAGAAAACTAAACTAAAAAGAGAAAACTGAAGAAATCAAATATTTTTTCATGTTTATTTTTCCAGTTTGGACTCGCAACAAAGAGTGTGCAGAGTCCAGACATGCATGTGCATTTTCTTCACCTGCTCATCATTCAACTGAAAAAACTCATGCATTACAAACTAAAGCACACACACACACACACACACACACACACACACACACACACACACACACACACACACACACACACACACACACACACACACAATCTAAAGCAAGTTGCAAAAATGACTCACCAGCTCAAAAAGCACCTCAGCTCTGATTCAGTAACTTAAAAAAACCTCTGCTCTTAAGGGAGGAATTGGAGACTTGCATGCATGGAACAAGTGTGGTCATTTTAGCAGCAATGGACTAATTCAGCAATTATCCCTAAAGGTCCACAAGGTTTATACAAGTGGAAAGCTATGTAAGCACATTTAGCAGGAGAGTGACAGACACCGGTAACGTCATGGTCTGTGGGTTCTTGTTGATGCTTTGCTTTTTGAAATTTCTCTACGTTAACATCCTCAGTCCGCTCCAGACAGAATGGAGGTGCTTTACAAAAGGATGGAAACCTTCCAAAAGCAATCAACCGCCCCAAAACGTTCAGCACTGTCCAGTGACCCATGAGATATTCTGGTAACAGGTAAACAAATACATTCACAAACCCGAAAGCTGAATGTTTATATCAGAGCAGTTTCACATCTTCGTCACTTTTCACACTGCAGATCTCAGCGTGGATTTAATGCAAACTGTGAGACTTCCTCCTGTCTTCTCTAAAATCAACAGAACCACCCAAATACAAAATATGTAGAAGCTTCTCAGGACTTAAAAAGAAAATGTGATGGATTCAAAAGAATCTGAAAAGCTGCTAATATCAGTAACATGTTATTTCTGTATCAATCTATTTCCGAAGAATTCAAGAGAGATGAAGGAATTTCACATCGACTGGTTTTCACACAATGTAATAAAACTCTTGGATCACCAGCAGGCTGGACTATTGCAACGGTCTTTTGCCTGGTCTTCCCAAAAAAGCTGTGAAGCAACTGCAGCTTATACAGAATGCTGCTGCTAGGGTTTTAACAAGAACCAAGAGAACCGAGCACATCACTCCTGTTCTCAATCTCTACACTGGATACCAGTAAACTACATGATCAATTTCAACTTGTTTATAAATACCTCAATGGCATGGGGCCAAAATACAAGTCAGATCTCTTTCAGGTACATACGCTCAGCAGGGCTCTGAGATCATTAGGAAACAGTCAGCTGGTAGAACCCGGGTCAGAACCAAACAGGGTGAAGCTGCTTTTAGCTACTATGCTGCTCACAGATGGAATCAGCTTCCTCATGACCTCAAATGTGCCCCAACTCTAGAAAGTTTTAAATCTAAATTGAAAACCTTCATGTTTTCATCAGCCTTTGAATGAATATTCTTATGCTGCACCTTCTGCACTGTAACTGCTCAGACTTTCACTTTGCTTCTTTTTTAATTGTATTTTCTCTCACATTTATGGGGCCAGAGCGGGCGACATTAAATCTTACCTGAAACTGCTGGCTAAGCATAAATACTGTAAGATTGTTATTCACGCTGGCGGTAACGACACCTGGTTATGCCAATCGGAGGTCACTAAAATGAATGCTGCTTCGGTGTGTAAGATTGCCAAAACAATGTCGGACTCCGTAATTTTCTCTGGCCCCCTGCCTGATCGGACCAGTGACGACATGTTTAGCCGCATGCTGTCCTTCAACCGCTGGTTGTCTAGGTGGTGTCCTGAAAACAACGTGGGCTACATTGATAATTGGAAAACTTTTTGGGGAAAACCTGGTCTGATGCGGAGAGACGGCATCCATCCCTCTTTGGATGGAGCAGCTCTTCTTTCTAGGAACATGGCCCGTTTTATTAGTCCTCCATGACAACCCATGGTCCAGACCAGGAAGCAGAGTCGTAGTTTAACCCACCCCTCTGCAGCTTCTGTACTGTTACCCACCCACTACCCCATAGAGACAGTGTCCTGCCCACGGCCAAAACCACACAGATTAAATATCAGGCTTAATAAAGCAAACCATGGAAATCTCATAAATATTAGAACAAATTCAACTGAGCAGAAAATTTGAAAAATTAAATGTGGGTTGTTGAACATTAGATCCATTTTTTCTAAGACTTTGTTAGTTAATGACTTGATTTGTGATAATCAGATCTCTTTGCTCTCTCTCACAGAATCCTGGCTGCAGCAAGAGGACTATGTTAGCTTAAACGAGTCGACTCCTTTTAATTATTTAAATCATCATATTGCTCGAAGTACAGGGCGAGGAGGAGGAGTAGCAACCATTTTTCATTCAGACTTATTAATCAATCCCTTACCAATTAATAGCTGCAGTTCGTTCGAACATCTTATTCTTAGTTTTCCTAATCCAGATTGCAAAACTGTAAAACCACTCTTGTTTGTAGTTTTGTATCGTCTACCAGGCCCTTACTCTGAGTTTTTGGATCAGATCTCTGATTTTTTATCTGATTTGGTGCTAAATACTGATAAGGTCATTGTAGTGGGGGATTTTAACATTCATGTGGACATTGAAAATGATAGCCTCAATGTAGCCTTTAGTAATATCTTAGACTCAATTGGTTTTACTCAAAGAATAGATAGCTCCACCCACTCCTGCCATCATACATTGGACCTTGTGCTGACTTATGGCATAGAGTGTGAGGAAATAACAATCTTTCCACATAATCCAGTCCTCTCGGACCACTTTCTGATAACCTTTGAGTTTTTTATAACTGAGTTCTCGAGACATGAAAGTAAATTTCACTATAATCGGTCTCTATCTGACAACGCAGTTGCATCTTTTATATCAACTGTTCCATCTTTACTGTCCTCAGCATCTCAGAGGAACGTAGCAGAGGGCAATATTTTCAGTTCTAGCCCTCACAAATTGATGCTTTAGTTCATCATTTTAATTCCTCTTTACGTGTGGCATTAGATGATGTTGCCCCTTTAAAAAAGAAGGTAATTAGGGACAGAAAGTTGGCTCCCTGGTTTAATTCTCATTTACGAGCCTTAAAACAAAACTCTAGGAAATTGGAGAGAACATGGCGCTCTACGCACCATGAGGAGGCCTACCTATCCTGGAAAAATAGTATTGCGCTTTATAAAAATAAGCTTCGACAAACTAGAACTGCTTATTTTTCAGCACTAATTGAGGAGAATAAGCATAATCCTAAATTTATTTTCAGTACAGTTGCTAAACTTAAACAGAATCATAGCTCTGAGCCATCTATTTCCTTAGCCCTCAGCAGTAATGACTTTATGGGATTTTTCACAAGTAAAATGAATTCTATTAGAAACAAAATCTTTAGCATCCTCACTAATGCGATTTCTTCTTCCTCAGTAAGTGAGGCAGCATCAGAGGTGACTGTAGAACCTCATCTGTGCTTGAACCGTTTTGATCCAGTTGAGCTTTCAGAGTTATCAAAAATATTAGCTTCATCTAAACCTTCAACTTGCATTTTGGATCCACTCCCAACCAAATTATTTAAAGATGCATTTCCTTTGGTTACTGCCCCCATTCTAGATATAATCAATCTATCCTTAGTAAATGGGTATGTACCACAAGATTTTAAGGTTGCTGTAATCGAACCTTCACTTAAGAAGCCTTCTCTGGATCCAGATGACCCAATGAATTATAGACCAATATCTAACCTTCCATTTTTATCCAAAGTCTTGGAGAAAATTGTGGCCATCCAAGTATGTGAGCATTTAAACACTAATGATCTGTTTGAGAAATTTCAGTCTGGTTTTAGAGAGTATCACAGCACTGAAACTGCGTTAGTGAGAATTACAAATGATATTCTCATGGCCTCAGATAAGAATCTTGTGTCTGTTCTAGTCTTGTTAGATCTAAGTGCTGCCTTTGACACAGTTGATCACAATGTTCTTAAAAGCTTGAACATGTTGTAGGGATCAAAGGAGCAGCGTTAGGCTGGTTTAAATCCTACCTGTCTGACAGATTTCATTTTGTAAATGTACACGACAAATCTTCTTCATACTCCAGGGTTAATTGTGGAGTACCACAGGGTTCAGTGCTTGGACCAATTCTTTTTACTATATATATGCTCCCAATTGGTAAAATCATTAGACAGCATGGGATAAACTTCCACTGTTATGCTGACGATACTCAAGTTATATTTATCCATTAACCCTGATGAACCTAATCGGTTGGGTAGATTACAGGCTTGTCTTGAGGACATAAAAAATTGGATGACTCTAAACTTTTTGCTTTTAAATCAAGACAAAACTGAAGTTCTCATCTTTGGACCAGAAATCCAGAAAAGGAAATTGCTTAGTCAATCACCTAACCTGAATGGCATTAAATTTGTCTCAGAGAACAAAGTAAGGAACCTTGGTGTAATTTTTGCCAAGGACATGTCATTCAAATTTCAGGTAAATCAGGTTTGTAGGATCTTCTTTTTCCACCTTCGGAATATTGCTAAGATTAGAAGAATCCTTTTCAGGAGTGATGCTGAAAAACTAGTTCATGCATTTATTACATCAAGACTGGATTACTGTAATTCATTACTCTCAGGAAGTCCACAGAATGTAGTTAAAAGTCTTCAGCTTGTCCAAAATGCTGCAGCTAGAGTTCTGATGAGAATTAAAAAGAGAGATCATATCTCTCCTGTTTTAGCTTCCCTACATTGGCTACCTGTTAAATTCAGAATAGATTTTAAGATCCTTCTTTTCACATATAAAGCTCTTAAAAATCAAGGTCCATCATACATCAGTGATCTGATTGTTCCATACGTTCCTAACCGAGCACTTCGCTCTCATACTACAGGTTTACTGGTTGTTCCC